CTAACTCCAGAAGATGGTAGAGGACAGGAAGGCCTGGAGGAACGTTGTCCATGGGGTTGCGATGGGTTAGACATGACTTCACAACTAACAACAAAAATCTCCATCCATCTATTATCTATCATCTATCTTTTATCCTGTCTATCTATTTATCTATCTATCTATCTATCTATCTATCTATCTATCTCATTTCACATATATAAATCTGCTTTTCTATATATTTATCTTTTATCTCTATTTTCTATCTATCTATTTATCATATACCAATCTATCTGCCTATCTATCTGTCTATATCTATCACATTTGTGCTGTCCTTTTCCCAGCGCTCCCAAATCTTTCTCCTCCTACAACTGGGATTCCACGTTCTTCAATGTGTCTTTTTAACCTCCACATATTTGCTGAGATTCTTTCCCTAATAGTGGTGTGGAAGAGATGAAGTTGGTCAGCTGCAGAGAGCTTTACATTCCCAATGTAGGGGGGGAAAGAAGGCAAAAATGGAGAAAGAGAAGGAGAAGGAGAGAGACAGAAGGGGAAAGAGAGAAGGAGAGAAAGAGAAGGAGAGAGAAAGAGGAGAGAAAAAGAGACAGAAGGCGAAAGAGAGGGGACAAGCGGGGAGAGAGAGAGAGAGAGAGAGCACAGGAGCATTGTTCCAATACAAAATAGACTATTTTTTCCATTGAGAGTAAAACCTCACATTTTCATAGGAATATTAAAACAAAGTTGAGATAACAAGCCAGCTGTTGAGTCCGTTCCTTTGATCAATCAAGGGGCTTGATCCATTTCTGGTCCATTTATAGGCATTGCCAGTAAGTCAGGAAATCGGTTTTTTTGGACTGAGTTTGTTTTTTTCAAGGGCAATAGACTCTAAGCCATGGTGCTTAAGAGCTTACCTCTTGGATGCATGGTAGGAGAAGACAGCTCTAACCTGCTCAGCAGTTTCTCAACGCAGGGCCAGCTCATCCGAGGCAGCCTTGAGCAATATCTGAACCTCTTGGCTTGCAACACAGAAAAAAAAAAAGGATAAAGGCCTGAATCACAGCGGGGAAGAAAAGGCATCCCCCTACACTCAAAACTCCTCGAATTCATTTGTTAGTCAAAACGCTGGCTTAAAAATCGAACGCTCTCTAATAGTCTAATAATCGCTAATACGTCAAGTTTCATTTCACACGTTGAGCAGGATTGGTTTAATCCTGCTTTGCATGTTACATAGAAAGTCTAGAAGGTTTCCCCCCGGGGGCCTTTGGTATAATTTTAATAAATTCATGCATTCACGTGGAAGGATGTGGACTTTACGAAATGTTATATCCTAATCCTCGACTTGCAACAGTCCGCTTAGGGACCATTGCAGCGTCCCCCGTGGTCACGTGATCAAAATTCAAATGCTTGGCAACTGGTTCATATTTATGACGGTTGCAGTGTCTAGGGGTCATGGGGTCATCTTTTGCAACCTTCTAACAATCAAAGACAAATTCACTTTAAAACTGTGAGACTAACTTAACAACTCCAGTGGTTCACTTAACAGCTGTGGCAAAGAAAGGTCATACAATGGGGCAAAATTCACTTAACAAACCTCTCGCTTAGCCAACAGAAATGTGGGGCTCAATTGTGGCCGTAAGCTGAGGACTACCTGTGTAGGATCTCCTGCTTGGGCAATGGGTTGGACTAGACGACCTCCAAGGTCCCCGCCGCCTGTTATTGTGTTACGAGTGTGTTTTTCTAAAAAAAAATATTTTTCAGGAGGACTGGCCGTTCTGAAAGCAATAATCAGTTTGTATCAAGGTTGACTCAGCCTTCCCTCCTCCTGAGGTGGGTAAAATGAGGACCCAGATTATTGGGGGGCAAGAGGCTGACTCTGTAAACCACTTAGAGAGGGCTGGGAAGTTCTGTGAAGTGGTATATACCGTAAGTCTAAGTGCTATTGCATGTTACCGAGAAGCAAAACAACAGTATATAGACAGGATTTTCCCCGCACCTTGATCTGCCAGGTAAATTAATTGTTCATTTCCCGAACGTATCCATATCCGTCCACAAGCGGTGAGGACAGCAAAGCCCTTTTAAAAACCACCAGAACGTTGCTTAAATCCCCGATTCTGACACGTTAATCTTTGCAAACAGGGAACCGCCAGGCTGGTTGCGTTGCTGTAGCAGCACATTCTGCAAAGCATTTACTGCCCGACCGGTAATCGGAAAGGTTAAAAACAAGCTCTTAAAACCCACGCACTTTCCACAAACTTTGCTCTCCGTGGGAACTGGGGCTTCAGTTAAGCTCCTCCACGGCAAAGGGGAAGGGTGTCCCCGTTGCGTTGTTCTGTCTACAGATAGGTGTGAAAGGGATGGTGAAAGGGGTGACGACCGCACGTCCAATCCTTCCCGTAGTAGTTAACCGATGTGTAAGCCCCATTTAAATAGGTGGGGCCTCTCCATGCATAACCGTAAGCCAGGGCCACTCCTGTTTTCCTGTTTCCATTTGCAGCTTGAGGGGTTGAGCTAGTCCTGTTTTAAGAGAGTTGAAGAGCTCAGGTAGTCCTTGAGTTACGACAGTTCGATTAGCGTATCTCTTGTGAGTTAGAGCTACCAGGTTGGGTCATTAAAAAAAAACAACATTGCTTTTGAAAATACTTTTGCTGAAGGTTTTTCTTTTTTCCCCGCAGCTACCTAAGTAATGCCATCTCCATTCTCACCTCATTCTTGAATTGTTATCAGCAGAAGAAAGACAAAATCGTACTTGTTAGGTCTTGTGTTGAATTCTCCAGGAAGGGGGAGGGGAAAAGGCGGCAGATCTGTGACTATCAATAGAAGACAATATCTGCAGCTCAGGGCTGAACTGTGGGATCCTTTGGTACTCTCTTTGGTGGTTTTCTTGCATACGTTTCATTACCCAGCTAAGTAATATCATCAGTGCGAGGAGGAGGAGGAGGAGGAGGAGGAGGAGGAGGAGGAGGACTGTAGAGTCCTTGATGCTCTCTGAGTTTGGTGGTTTTCTTGCATACGTTTCATTATCCAGCTAAGTAATATCAGTGCGAAGAGGAGGAGGAGGAGGAGGAGGAGGAGGAGGAGAACGACGACTATGGAGTCCTTGATGCTCTCTGAGCTTGGTGGTTTTCTTGCATGTTTCATTACCAAACTAGGTAATATCATCAGTGCGAGGAGGAGGAGGAGGAGGAGGACTGTGGGGTCCTTGATGCTTTCTGAGCTTGGTGGTTTTCTTCCAGACATTACCTAGCTGGGAAATGAAACATTTGCAAGAAACAACCAAGTTTTGAGAGCATTGTATTTTTGTAGGCTCTGGTGTCATCTGAAATGCTAACAGACCGAAACTCTCTCATTACTGTCCCTTGAAATACTACCAAAGCACAGGAAGATTGATTGATGAGAAAAATGCCTGTATATTAACAAATCAGATGGGGCATGGCCTCCTTAAGCTCTGGATGGTCTACCCTGGGTGGCCACCCTTTTCCCAGAGGTTAGGCAGCTCCTGACCTTTCCCACGACTGTCGGGGATCGAAGCCAAAGGTCTTCAGCATGCCAAGAACGTCCTTTCTCTCTGAGTTGGCGTCAGAGGGTGTCAAATCAGGACAACTTTAATAGTGGTCGAGCTAAGGGTAGCTTAACTGTCCTGATTCATGGGTTGAGTTGAAGGCAGCCTCACGGAGTGAAAAACATTGGCCAGGTGGCTTTGTGCCCCAGTTAGACCCAAATTGGAAGAGGCAGAGGCACTGGGCCAAGATCAGGCAAAGTGTTGATAGCATTTTATAAAAGGCCCTGGTAAAGCCACCCTTGGAATGCTGCATCCAGTTTGGGTCGCCAAGATGTACAAAAAGATGTTGAGACTCTGGAAAGGGTGCAGAGAAGAGGAACAAAGAGGATTCGGGGACTGGAGGCTAAAACATATGAAGAACGGTTGCAGGAACTGGGTTATGTCTAGTCTGATGAAAAGAAGGACCAGGGGAGACATGATAGCAGTCTTTGAATACTTGAGGGGCTGCCCCAAAGAAGAGGGGGGTCAACTTATTTTCCAGAAAGCAAGACAAGAAACAAAGAATGGAAACTCATCAAGGAGAGAAGCAACTTGGAATTTAGCAGGAACTTCCTAACAGAGAGGACAATTAACCAGTGGAACAGCTGGCCTCTAGAAGTTGTGGATGCGCCATCACTGGAGGTTTTCAAGAAGAGACTGGACTGTCACTTATCTGAAATTGATTAGATTCTCCTGTTTGATCAGGGGGCTGGACTAAAAGACCTCCATGGTCCCTTTCAGCTCTATTCTATAATTCTACAAACTCATGAAAAAGTCCATGGATATTCGATCCACTACGAATCGTTAATTATTGTGATGATTTGAGATAGATAAGATGCCGTGGTAAATTTTCTATGTGTGGATTACAGTAACAGTTGGTTAACAGAGGGTTTTGAGAAAACAATCTTGCCTTTTTCTACTATGATTGTTCTGCTTGTTAACTATTTCATCATTAATATTATATAGAGATATAGAAAGGTTAGTAATTTGCAAATGATTTAAAAGTTTAAAAATTGGGGGGGGGGCTGTTTCACAAGAGGTGGAATCTAATATTGTTGTAATATATTAGTATTCAACTAGGGGAGATAATATGTGTATATGTGGTAGTTTTTTAATGCACTTTTTAATATCTCATGGTTTTTCTTTGCTTTAAAAAAAATTGGAGGGATTTTGCATTTTAGCTTTTTTTAAATAAAATAAAGAGCTGTAAGAAAGCAGATATATAGGGTCTTTTTAAGTTGGAAGTTTTGGTGTATATTTTAAATGTATATAAAGAACGATTATCTCTATAAAAATGTATTGTCCAAAACAAAACAAAAAAAACCAGTTCCTTATAACCAAAGCCGGATTCCTACAAAGTTTCTTCCATTGCTTTTGGCAAGGAATTTGAAAAAGAAATCAAGATATTTGACTTGTGCTGCCCTTTCTCCCTTTGTTTGAAGGGCCCAAGGAGCCAGAAATAAAATTTAATCTTGTTTATCAACAGGCCACGTTCTCATCGAGATTTCTATCGCTCAAAAGAAACTCAACGACAAGCTAGAAGAAAACGTAAGTAAATCTGCCCGCAGTGCTTTAAAATATTATACGCATATTTTCCTATGAAGATATGCTAACCTTCTCACCCTTCTGTCAATTTTTCATGACTACAGTTCAAGAAATTCCATAAAGAAATTATATCGGAGCTGGAGAAGAAAACCGAATTAGATGTAAAATATATGAATGTAAGTGTATTATTTATTTATTTTAGTGCCGGAGAAGATTAAATGTAAGAATTTGCTAGTTTCTTGGTAGCAGCCACAAATCAGTCATGTCTCTGAGATGACCATCAACCTTCCTTCCTCAACCTCTGTAAAATCTAGGAATTTAGTCTGTCGTGAGTAACATAGTTTTATGCTAGCACTGATGATGTCACCTTGTTGAGTCATGAAACCTCTGCAAGAAAACAACCCAATTCAGAGAGCTCCAAGGACCCCCCTAATATAGTTTTAACTTGGGAGAAGCTGTGGATTCATTCGCTGGTTCCTTCTGCCAAACCTTCTCCTGCTTTGATGTCAACCAAACCCTTTTTTCCAGTTAGAAATCATCTAAAACAGGGGTCTTCAAACTTGACAGCTTTAAGACTTGTGGGCTTCAACTCCCAATATTCCTCCTCCAGTCCTGTTAGCTCAGGAATTCTGGGAGTTGAAGTCCACAAGTCTTAAACTTGCCAAGTTTGAAGACCCTCGATCTAAAAGGTGAGAGAATATCACCATGCATAAAAATAAAATAAAATAAAATGAAGGAAGGCAGCAAGAGATATGAAGAACCTCCAGTTTTCTGTGAATAATTTCTTGACTTCTATTTTTCTGTTTTCTCATGCATGTTCCTCTCGTAATTTTTCAACGGGTTGAAGCATGTCCTAATAAACGATAATAACTATAATAATACTGTTATTCCCTACAGTTGCAGAACAGTAGGGAACAAGCTCCTATATTTTTTTTTAGCATGACGTTGTCAGCTTTCCTCCCCTAAGTAGGAACCCGTGGATACCAGTCTCCCAACCTCCCGACGGACTTCTTTCCAAAAATACCTCTGTGAACTTTCTCCTTACAGGCTACTCTGAAGAGGTACCAAAACGAACACCGAAGCAAATTAGATTCTTTGGAAAAATCTCAGGCCGAACTGAAAAAAATCAGGCGGAAAAGCCAAGGAGGACGGAACGCCATTAAATATGAACACAGAGAATCCGAGGTTGGTACCTTCACCTTGACTCAAGTTTCCTTAGTTTGAAAGTTAAGTCAAGCTTACTTCATGTTGGTTAAAATTCAAACCCTTTAACTTTTAAAGAGGCCGAGCCTTTTGTAATGTAGTCATCATCATCATCATCTCCTTTTAATGACCCCATAATCCCTTACGAGATGAAGTCTGAAGGGCGCTGAGTGTTTACTTGGCCGGATGCCCTTCCTGTCACCGATGCGGAGTTTTGTTGATATATTCTCAGTGCGCCCAGAGAGAGAGACATATCTGCCTCTACCTGGGATCGAACTCACAGCCTCCTGATTGTGAGCCGGGAGCTCCACCTCTAGGCCACCACACCACAATTGAGTGTTATTTATGCTGTTACTTACGTCAAGAACCTTTCTGGTCTCCTCCCTCTACCACTAGGTATTAGAAGTATTAATGTTCCTCTTCAGTGTTAATACAGGTAGTCCTTGACTTACGGCCACAATTGAGCCCAGAATATATGTTGCTAAGTGACACATTTGATAAGTGAGCTTTGCCCCATTTTACGACTTTTCTTGCCACCTTTGTGAAGTGAATAACTCGATGGTGAAATAAATCTGGCTGCCCCATTGACTTTGCTTGTCAGGAGGTCACAAAAGAGACGTGACCCAGGGATACGGCAATCATCATAAATATGAGTCAGTTGCCAAGCCTCTGAATTTTGATCACGTGACCATGGGGACACCGCAACAGTCGTAAGTGTGAAAAATGGTCATAAGTCACTTTTTCCAGTGCCGCTGTAACTTTGAACGAACTGTCGTAAATTGAGGATTACCTGTAACACTATGAATTGATATTGAGATTATTTTCAGGAAAGCAAAGGATTCTTTGAACATGCACAGCACAAGTATTTTGACTTCTGCTCTTCATTTACACAGATGACCAACAATTAACATTCACCTTCACCTTCACCTTCCGTTATACTAAGCTCAACCAAAGTGGGAACGAGAAGTGAATTCTTGACATCCATTCACATATAACCTGGATTCAAACCTGTTTTCTTCTCCTTGGAGTATCCCAAAGTGCCTTAAGAAAGATTTTTTTAAAAAACTTGTTGGGGAATAAAGTTAGTCTCTTGACATGATGTAGCAAGTATATTTATCGCCTTTCTTCATGTCAACAGATAATCTTCCTGTCCTGGAAAAATTAATTGGCTATTGTGTAGGTTGGCAGCCTTATCAAGGGAATATATACGTTGGAAGATAAATGATATTTTTGCGTGTTGATACAGAGTGGCAGAATGTGACTAGACTGCGCAGTTCTATTTGAGAAAAAAATTAAAGTTTGAAGCTGCCATTAAACTTAAGTTGTACAAGAATCCCTCTTTCCCAGGCCTGAATATTGGAAGAATACTGAGTTTTTATTTTGCTACTCCTTACTATTTTAATACATGTAACATGCCGTCCGTTTCATTGGTTCTAGTTTTTATTTAGCGTTGCACAATTGTGATTTTAATTGTTTCCACACTTTCTACAGCTGGACGAGAGGGATGGCATATAAATGAAATGAAATAAAATGAAATAATGAAGAGACAGACAGACAGACAGACAGACAGACAGACAGACGAGAAAGAGAGAGAATGAGAATGAGAGTTTCATTATTGGACTGTTGACTTGAGATGGGACTTCCTAGAAAATGGGCTGGAAATATTTTAAATAGCACAAGATTGGTGTGTGTGATTGTCTGAATCTGGTATTTTCATGCTTTATCTAGTATTTGGAAACCGTAAGCTCCCGACAGAGCGATATCCAAAGATTTATTGCGGAGGGTTGCAGAGAGGCCTTGCTTGAAGAGAAGAAAAGGTTTTGCTTCCTGGTTGACAAGCACTGCAATTTTGCTCAACGCCTGTTCCATTACCATGTGGAGGTGAGCTGTGGAAGAAGGACCTGTATCCATCAATCAAAATAGAGCTGGAAGGGACCTTGGAGGTCTTCTAGTCCAACCCCTTTCTCAAACAGGAGACCCTTTTTCAGACAAGTAGCTGTCCAGTCTCTTCTTAAAAACCACAAGGGATGAAGCACTCACAACTTCTGGAGGCAAGTTGTTCCACCGTTTCATTGTTTTCACTGTCAAGAAATTTCTCCTTAGTCCCAGGTTGTTTTTCTCCTTGTTTAGTTTCCATCCTTTGCTTCTCATCTTGCCTTCTGGTGCTTTGGAGAATAAATTGACCCCCTTTTCTTTGTGGCATCCCCTCAAATACTGGAAGACTGCTCTCATGTGCTCCCTGGTCCTTCTTTTCTCTACAGTATCCATACCCAAATCCAACAACCATTCTTCATAGGTTTTAGTCTCCAGGCATTTAATCATCTTCTCTGCCTTTTTTCCCAAAGTCTCAACATCTTTTTTTTTTTTTTGGGGGGGGGGGGGGGGCATGTGAATGCTGTATCCCAAGTACACCCAAAACAGGCATCTCTAAACATTTGCCGCCACGAAACAAAATTGTAATCCAAACCGTAGCCAATTCCTAGATTTGCTTGAGAGAAGCATCTTCTTTTTCTGGTTCTCTATGAAATTAGGGGAGATAGGATAGCAGCCTTCCAATATCTCAGGGGCTGCCCCAAAGAAGAGGGAGTCAAGCTATTCTCCAAAACACCTGAAGGCAGGACAAGAAGCGACGGGTGGATAATCAAGGAGAGAAGCAACCTGGAATTAAGGAGAAATTGCCTGATAGTGAGAACGATTAATCAATGGAACAGCCTTCAGAAGTTGTGAAAATGCTCCAACACTGGAAGTTTTTAAAAAGATATTGGATAACCCTTTGTCTGAAATGGTGTAGGGTTTCCTGGCTAGGCAGGGGGTTGGACTAGAAGACCTCCAAGGTCCCTTCCAACTCTGTTATTCTGTTCTTAAATTTATATTTTCCTCGGATTCCCTGTAGTGCTCAGAGATACTTACCGCCAAGTTGCCAGCGTGGTTGGAAACCTGCAGCGATGCCACCAAGGTTCCAGCGACCGTCATGAATATGATCGATGAGATCAAGTCAACCGGATCCGTTTCGATATCAGGGACTCCCTTGCCTTCCCCAATGATAGAGAGGAACAACCTGGTGAGATTCCCATTTCACCTTGGGAGCTGAGTAGAGAAGAGAGAGAGAGAGACAGGCAGTCCAACATGGTGGACACAGGTGTACAATTCAAACGCCACCCATATTTATTCATTAGATGCTTATCCCAACTTTATTACTTTTATGATCAGTAAACATAATAGACACAATAGTCCTTCCTCCTCCTATTTTCCCCACAGCAACTTGGTGAGGTGGGTTGGGCTGAGAGTGAGGGACTGCCCAAGGTCACCCTGCTGGCTTTCATGCCTAAGGTGGGACTAGAACTCCCACTCTCCTGGCAATTGACCCAAACTCACCCAGAAGGCCTAAAGCGGGACTAGAACTCACCATCTCCTGGTGATTGGCCCAAAGTCATTGAGCCAGCTTCCATGCCTGAGGCAGGACTAGAACTCACCGTCTCCTGGTGATTGGCCCAAAGTCATTGAGCCGGCCTTCATGCCTGAGGCAGGACTAGAACTCACCGTCTCCTGGTCTCTAGTCAGGCACCTTAAATTCCCCACAGAAACACACCTGTTACTTTATGAATGTCTCAAATTGCACCGGCGCCCCTAATTTTTACCCTACAAATATAATCTAGTTTGCATTCGTTCCCGAGCTGAGCTTCCATATATTCTGGGATAGAATCAACCTGGAAAACCGGCAAGTGAATCTAATTAAGGAAAAAACTTTTCAAAGGAAAGAATTCAGTTTGGATAAGCCAATAAAATCGCTAGTATTTATTCATGCCTTTGTGCGCTGTTTCACAATATTGACGCTTTGCCTTTTGGTCGGCAGGTTGGAAATAATTATGATTCCCTCCGAAGGCATTCTCCTAAGGTGCCCCCAGCCCCTCCGGGGAGAGCTTACACCAGCCCTTTAGTTGATATGTTCAACAACCCAACACCTGTCATACCAAAGACCTCTTCCGAGAAATTAAGCAATGCAACAGGTAAGGGGAGACAGAGAAAGAGAGGGAGGGAGGGAGGGAGGGAGGGAGAGCAAGAGATGATGGGTGGATGGTAGGTAGGTAGGTAGGTAGATAAATTAGATTTGGGGAAGAAGTGCGGAATTTAAACTAGACTAGTAGTGGCTAACCTTTTTGGGCTCCTGTGCCAAAAATTGTGCATGCGCTTGCACACTCATGCTCGCGTGCCAGCACCAGAAGGCAATCCACCCCACCACGCCCCCTACGCATGCGCGCACAATCCCCCCCACCCCCCGCCGCCCCCTTACCTGAACTGTGCCTCACAGCTGATTTTCAGCTGGTTTGAGGCCTTTTTCAGCCTCCCAAAGGCTTGATGAAGGCTTCTGCAGGCTTCTGCAGGCTTTGCGGGCCAAAAACTAGCCCCGTTTCGTCACTTCCTGGTTTTCCGAAAATACCGGAAGTGATGAAACGGGGCTAGTTTTCGGCCTGCAAAGCCTGCAGAAGCCTTCCTCAAGCCTTTGGGAGGCCAAAAAAGGCCTCAAAAAGGCCAAAAATTAGCTGTGAGGCACGCACATGTGCAGTGAGGTAAGTTTGCCTGCAGCTCGCATGCCAGCACAAATGGCTCTGTATGCCACCTGTGGCACTCATTGCCATAGGTTTGCCATCGTGGAACTAGACTTTCACCCAGAAGAGCATGGACTGCATTGACAAGCATCACATCGGAGTGAGCCCTCTCTGCAGGGGCCAGAATCCAGACACAAGCTAGGCCGACCATCTTGAGCTCTGTTTTGTGGCCACTAAGCTCGGAGGAGCACATTGTTAGCTTGATGCTCTCTGCTGGACAATTCCATGATTAATGATGCTTTATTTCCCCTGCCTCTTTCTGTCTGCTTTTCCTTTTTTTTTTTGGTGATATTATGCAGACGATTCCAGTTTATTGCGATCTACCTCTGTGGCCACTGGACTGAACATAATGAAGCGTCAGAAAGTGAAGACTATCTTCCCGCACACCGCTGGAAATAACGAGACTCTCCTTAGTTTCGCCCAGGGCGACCTTATCACGCTGTTCGTATCAGAAGAAAGAGACGGCTGGCTGTACGGAGAACATGATGTCACCAAAGTGTATGTCAAGGCTTCCCAAAATTTTGCATTAATTACCCCAAACCACTTTTCAGAACGTCTTATCTGCTCATAAGCAGTGGTGGGATTCAAATAATTTAACAACCGGTTCTCCCAGGGTCAGGTTGGCTATCATGGGAGACGTGGCCCGTTCCCATCTACCAGTTCCGCCACACATTGTTCTGACCAAAGCGTCCTGAGGCCATAATTAAGCACATGCTTAGTTAAAACAACTCTTGTTTTATTTCAACGCTGGGAATTATGTTCATTCCCAGGCAGTAATGAGTCCCAAACAGTTCCTCAAGATAAGCACCCACTTTTCTCTCCTTTGAATTGCTGACAACTAAAGTGCCAAATTAACTGTAAAAAGCCAACCGAAGTACAAACTCCACACACAGCTTCAAGGATTAATCCGAACAATATGAACGACTTTGCTTCCTGCAAAGGTTTCATCATCTTGGCTTGTCTTTTATACCTTATGGGAGGGGCAATCACCTCCCTGCCTTACTCCCGAATCGCCCCTTTTGTCTCAGCTGCTCTTGCCTTCTAGCAGCTCTGCGCACACGCGCACTGGGAACAGGCACCCCTTGTTCCTCTGCCTCGCTGCTGCCAGACTCTGGAGGCTCCGGAGTCAGCACCCCACTCCCAGATGGTCCTGGCCCCATCCCTGCATCGGATGCAGGATCCTCATCCGAGTCCTCTCCAGACTTCCGGACTGGTCTTCGTTCTTCCCCACTGTCCAACTCCACTGTCGTCTGCACAGGCTGCCGGTGAACCACAACACAGGTGGGACAAGCCTCTCGCGATGGCCAACCTGAACATGGGCAAACCGGTTGTTAAATTACACCCCCACACACACACACTATCAAAGTGGATCCTGGGCGTTAAGCCTCAATGGAGAAACGGGAAACAGAGGGAAGGAGGAGCAGGAAGAAGAGAGAGGGAAAGCGGCCTTCTCCTTCCCTCGCACCGGCCGTTCTGTTGCCCATTTCTGCATTGCAGCGCGGCAACCAGCATCCCCTTTGATCATGGGGGCTTGGGTAACTTAACAACCGGCTCGTGTGAACCGGTACAAACCGGATGAATCACACACCCCCACACACTGCTCATATGTCTGTTCCTTCAGCGCCATTGTAACTTCGAACGATCACTGAACGACCAGTAGTAACTTGAGGACTACTCATATCATGAAAACAATGGGGTGGGGATTGGGAGGAGGAGCAGGAGAACCAAGCTCAGAGAGCACCAAGGACCCCCACAAATGTCTTCTCTTGTGGTATACAGCCAGGTTTGTACAAAGCAGTAATTTATTACAACGTTATCTTCTAGGAAAGGCTGGTTCCCATCCTCTTACACAACGCCCTTCGAAGGCCCATCAGAAGAGACCGTGCGCATTCCGGTGCCAAGGTAATGGTGGGTTGGCGTAGAAGCTCTTTGAGAACCGAGCTGAAGAATCTGTTGCTTCTGGTTGGGCTATGGAGTCCTGGTGGCGCAGTGGTTAAAGTACAGTATTGCAGGCTGACTCTACCAACCGCCAGCAGTTCGATCCTGACCGGCTCAAGGTTGACTCAGCCTTCCAGCCTTCCGAGGTCGGTAAAATGAGGAGCCAGATTGTTGGGGGAAAATAGGCTGACTCTGTAAACAGTTTAGAGAGGGCTGCAAAGCACTGTGAAGCGGTATATGCTATTGCTTGGGGAAGGAAGGAAGGAAGGGAAGGAAGGAAGGAAGGAAGGAAGGAAGGCAGGCATAGTGGCAGAGTGGTTAGAATGCAGTGTTTCAGGCTAACTCTGCCCACTGGCAGGAGTTCGATCATGGGTGACTCAGCCTTCCATCCTTCTGAGGTGGGTAAAATGAGGAGGCAGATTGTTGGGGGAAAATAGGCTGACTTTGTAAACCGCTTAGAGAGGGCTATCAAGCACTATGAAGTGGTATATAAGTCTTAAGTGCTATTGTTATTAACAGTGGTTTTCTTTGCTTTAGCCCTGCGCCCATCCGTAGTGTCAGCTCAGTCAACTTGACCAACAGAGAAAGCCCCATCCTCCCCCCACCAGATTATGTCATATCTGGGCCGACCAAACCAGCTTCAGAACCAAAACTTGAAACTTCTAAAACTACAGCAGCTCAAAGCATATCTCTTGTGAGTAGACCGACCAGTTTTGTTATTTATATTAAAAAAAAAACCTCAGCTTTTGAAAATACTTTTGCTGACGGGTTTAATCCAGAGGTGGTATTCAGCAGGTTCTGACCAGTTCTGGAGAACCAGTAGCTGTGAAATTTTGAGTAGCTCAGAAAACCGGAAAATCCCACCTCTGACTAGAGATTTTACAGTGTCTTCCCCTGCCACGCCCACCAAGCCACGCCCTCAGAACTGGTAGTAAAAAAAATTGAATCCCACCACTGGTTTTATCCAGCTATCTGAGTAATGCCAGGCTGAACTTAAAACTTTTTGAACTTGCTAGTTACATCATTCTTTTAAATTTCAGCAATTACAAGTAATCCTTGACTTAGAACAGTTCTTTAGTGATCGTTTCAAGTTAAAACAGGACTGAAAAAAGGTGACTTAGGACCATTTTTCGCACTTATGACTGTTGCAGCAACTCCATGGTCACATGATTTACATTCAGATGCTTGGCAACTGACTCACATTTATGACAGTTACAGTGTCCTGTGGGGTCATGTGATCATCTTTTGCGACCTTCTGACAAGCAAAGTCCATGGGGAAGCCAGATTCACTTCACAATTAAATTCCTAATTTAACAACTGCAATTCAGTTTAAGGCAGATATTTCTCTCTCGGGGCAAAATGAGAATATGATCTGCTGAACAAAACTCAGCATTGGTGACAGGAAAGGCATCCAGCCATGAAAACTCTCTGCTAGCTCCATTCAGTTGCCCAGACAAGGAATTACGGGATCGTTAAATGATGATGATGAAATTCAGTTTTAACGAATGCAGCAAGAATAGTCGTAAAATGGAGCACAACTCACTTAACACATTTCTCACTTAGCAACATAAATTCTGGGCTCATTTGTGGTTGTAAGCCAAGGACTACTTGTAATTGGCGGGAGGGGAATCCATTCCTCGTTTCAGTGGCATTTCACAAGCTCACCATCGCTGTGTCAATTATACTGGTCCAGTGTTGGTATAATCAGACCTCACCGTGGAGAGCTAAAAAGTTGCTTTAAACTTTTGTGTTGCACACAGCAAAGCGCAGGCATTTGGCTCAGATTCAGTTTTAAACATTTCAAATGATATTTCAGGGTTTTGAACACAGGAGACCTATCAGTGTCCGAGGAAAGGCTTGTAAGTTCAGATATTGTAATTCCTGCTTGCTCAAGAGTTACGTGATGTTAACCAGCCAGGGAAGCCGCTGTAAGTCAGACTGGAAAGCAGGCACTAAATAACGGCACTTGTAAACATCTGGATTCTTTCAGCAGTTTTGCCCCTTTTCAAACAATGAGGTTGTTTTGCAGTTGAAAGGTACTGAAAGCATTTTAGGCCTTGATTCATAGAGTTAATTCATTATCACTTCGGTCTGAAAAATAGGAATCCAAAGGAAAACTCCAGCAACAATGCTTAGGTCTTACGGGGAAGCTGGAGTGCCACCTTCTGGTCTCGAGGAGCCATTGCAGTTCAGGCGTCAGTGAAAGTGGAATATATGAAATTAGCAAGAGGAAATTGACTCTCTTTGAATTCATAAGCCATTGTGATGAGTCAATTTCCCTGAATCACACCCTCGTTATTCAAAACAGGGATTACTTATGCAGGAGGCGTCAGAAATGATTACAAGAGATCATCCTGCAAAGTTTGTTCCAGTTATTGCTTTCTTTGCTCCTAAAACGATCAGTCTAAACTAGAAGTTAAAAAAAAAATACTGCATTGATAGACCAAAATAAAGTAAAACTACGAAGTTTTTAGCGTAGAATGACCAAGTGAAGGGATTACAACCAGGAGAGGCCTAGAAAACTGTGGTTGAGAGTGTGGCTGTTTTAAGTCAAGGTTTTCCAACCTTGGCAACTTCATAATGTGTGGACTTCCAACTCCCAGAATTCCCCAACCAGCCATGAATTCTGGGAGTTGAAATCTACACTTCTTTCAGCTCCCCAACATGCTGGCTGGGGAATTCTGGGAGTTGAAGTCCATACTACTTAAAGTATGCTGGAAAACTGACACAGTGGTGGGATTCAAATTTTTTTTTACTACCGGTTCTGTTGGTGTGGCTTGGTGGGCGTGGCAGGGAAGGATATACTGCAAAATCCCCCTTCCCTCCCCACCCCACTAACCTGCTTTCCAGCTCTGTTCTCCTGCGCAGGGCAACCAAAGAAGAGCCAGCCAATCAGCTGGGACTCAATGGGAGGCAGAGAAGAGATGGGGTCAGCGGGGCCAGTCAGAGGCGGCATTTGCCGGTTCTCTGAACTACTCAAAATTTCCACCGGTCAGAACCGGCTGAATACCACCTCTGCTTGAGGCTCCCCGACATGCCGGCTGGGGAATTCTGGGAGTTGAAGTCCATACATTTCCCGATTCCCCAACGTGCTTAATCAGACGTTTAAAGTCCCTTTCCTGCTTATTCCTTTCCTTCGAACGGCCTTCCTTTTCTTCCGTACTCAGCGATGATGACTTTTCTTTCCTTCCTCAGAAACCTAACATGAACGGCATTATGAAGCCACCTTTCCTAAGGTAAGTTGGAATCATGCAATATCATTGACAACATGCAACAAACTCAAAAAAAAACAAAAAAAAATCCAGCCTTGGTTTATCTTTCTATGAGGTCATCTTGGAGAACCATTCAGGTGGCCTTAATCCTGTCTTGGCGTCCTTCTGTCATGCCCATCACACCTTCGGTCTCAAGAGACTATGGTATCGTGATCTGAAAAGAGGTCCTAAAACAGCATCTAGTGTGGCTAAAAAGGCCAATTTGAGAGGGGCAAGGATTTCCACGCTGAGGACAGATACAGTCTGTCCCATCCAGCCCCCGGATTTCTCTGGTTCCTCTTTGCCTCAGCCTGCCGAATGAGTGTCCCTTCTTCGAATTGGAGAAGGCCATGCTGCGTCTTTAGCCTCCAAGCTGAATGATCAGAGGTCAAGGTTTCCCAGCTGTTGATGTCCATTCCCAAGGCCTTTAGATCCCTCTTGCAGATATCCTGGTCTCCCTCTCGGGCGCTTTCCCTGCACTAATTCTCCATACCGGAGGTCTTTTGGAACCCACCCATCGGCCATCCTCACGACATGCCCAAGCCAGCATAGATGTCACTGTTTCCATAGTATATACACGCTAGGAATTCCAGCACGCTCCAAGACTGCGCTATTTGGTGTTCTGACCAAAGCTTCCAAGACCGTAATTAAGCACACGCTCAGTTAAATCAATTCCTGTTTTATTTCAATGCTGGGAATTAAGTTCATTCCCAGGCAGTAATGAGTCCCAAACAGTCCCTCGAGATAAGCACTCACCTTTCTTTCCTTTGAATTGCTGCCAACAACAAAAGTGCCAAATGAACTATAAAAATGCCACTGACGTACAAAGTCCACCCACAGCTTCAAGGATTAATCTGAACAGAATGAACGACTTTGCTTCCTGCAAAGGTTTCGTCACCTTGGCCTGTCCTTTATACTTTATGGGAAGGGCAATCACCTCCCAGCCCGAGTCGCCCCTTTTGTTTCAGCTGCTCTTGCCTTCTAGCAGCCCTGCACACACGCACACTAGGAACAGGCTCCCCTTGTTCCTCTGCCTCACTGCTGCCAGACTCCAGAGTCAGCACCCCACTCCCAGATGGTCCTGGCCCCATCTCTGCATCGGATGCAGGACCCTCATCTGAGTCCTCCCCAGACTCCCGGACTGGTCCCTGTTCTTCCCCACGGTCCAATTCCACTGCCGTCTGCACAGGCTGCCGACGAACCACAACACTTGGAACTTTTGTTACGCCAGGTGATGCCAAGAATAGGTACACAAAGCCTTAATCACATTCCTGGAAATGGGTTGAAACCACCTTCGTAAAAATTAAAACGTAGCTTATCGTCCCATCTCGCTGTGCTTCAATTTGCATGTCTGCTTTATTACAGTGGCGAGAATCCCTTTGCAACCGTCAAACTCCGACCGACCGTCACAAACGACAGATCGGCGCCAATCCTTCGATGAGTGGCATTGGAAAAAAAACCTGATCTATTTTTTGTTGTTGTTGTTGTTTAATCCTACTACCTTGTCAACATTGCACAGCCTGCCCCAGCCTGCAGGTCCCTTCAGGTGTTGCCTTGGGATGGTTTCCAAATTGGCTGACTACGCGGCAACTGGAGGCTCCCCTGGTTGGCGGTGGCCATAACTGTCTTCGGCGATATGATTTCCAAATACTGTCTGAAGTTGTTTTTAAACTTTTATTTAAATGTTAATTAATGTGTACAGCAGCTGCAAATTGCCAAAGTTTCTGACTTTTTAAACATGATTTTTGTTTTTTGTTTTTGCTGGCTTCTCGTTTCTGCTAATTATCGATGGCTGAGACGCCTGCAGATTTGCTTTGAGTTTAGAAGCGTGCCTTGTTTAGGAAGACAACTATATTTAGGAAAGCAGAAATAAACCAAATAGGGAAACCAGCAGAACTGATCCTCTTTAGTCTTCTATTACCAGCATTGCTGCTTAGACTTCTGTGCCAATGGTGTGGTTTAATCCTAGGGATCAGTTCCGTTTAGTTTTGCTTGTACAATTTACTTAGATGGATACGAGAGTCGCTGCTTTTTAAACACTTAAGGATGACCTAACAGAATATCATGCCAAATAATATTTTCATTACATAAGCTAAGATAAAATGTCTTAGGGATACAGTAATAATAAAATGCTCTGATCAGAACAATGGGACATTCTTTCATTGGTTTGCAGTACGTAAAAGCTGAATCTTCTCTTCAAGTAGGATTTTATTTTGAGGGGTTCCTGGTGTTCTCTGAGCTTGGTTATTCTCTTGCAGACGTTTCATGACCCAAACTAGTAACATCATCCGTGCTAACCCTGATGGGTAAACAAAAGAAAACCACCATGCTCAAAGAGCACCAAGGATCTTTATTTCAACCCTGAGCTACAAATATTTTCCTTTATTGGATCCTGTTTAACAGGATTGTCTGAAAGCAGTTTTTTTTATCATGGATCATTGGAAAGGAAACATTAAATGGGATTTTTTTTTTTTTCTGTTCAGTTGGGTCTCATTTTCAGACACTGCCTGGAAAAGTCCCTTCACTTTACTTGGCAAGGTTTTTCAGAAGTGATTTCTAGGGGCTGAGAGAAAGTAATTGGCCCAAGTTTACCCAGCTGGCTTTGTAGATAAGATGGGGCTAGAACTCACCGCCTCTTGGTGGTTGGCCCAAAGTCATCCAGCCGACTTTCATACTTAAGGTGGGACTAGAACTCACCATCTCCCAATTTCTAGCCCAGTGGTCGCCAACCAGCGGGCCGGGGACCACTGGTGGTACGTGAGAAAATTCTGGCGGTCTGCAGAGAAATGTCACCCCCAAAGCAATTAACCCAGGCTGCGCGGGAACACAAGGCTGCGCCGCCCATATGGCCTGCGGGAGCACAAGGCTTGCATCAATTGCATCGCGAACAACACAAGGTAGTGAGGGGAGGAGGGAAAGGGCGGAGGAGGGGAACTTAGCCCACGCGCCCAGCCTGACCACTGGGCTGCTTCTTTCCGCTTCTTTCTTCTTCTGCTTTTGGCTGCACGCAAGAAAAGCAGCCAAAGTCTTTCTCTCCCCCAAACTCCGCCAGAAATGAGTCTTTGGGACCTTGCAAGGCCTCTTGCTCCAAGAGGCTGCGCCAGCACAACAAGTCTCACAAAGACTCATTTCTGGCAGAGTTTGGGGAAGAGAAAGAGACTTCTGCTGCTTCTGCTGCTTTCCTTGCATGAAGCCAAAAGTCTCTCTCTCCCCCCCTGAGAATGGAGCTGGAGACGGTATCCTGCGACCCCAAATAAAGAACGATCGATCGGTAGGAAAACAGAATGGGCAATTTTCCTGCAGACTTTTTGGGGGATTTTCCCAGGGTGTCTGGTCCGCAGGATTTAAAATTATGAGTTTGGTGGTCCCCGAGGTCCAAAAGGTTGGCAGCCTCTGGTCTAGCCTGATGCCTTAGCTGGACACCAACCTTGCCTGGTTCTTTTATTATTGCATGAACTTGCCATATTCACCCCATATTTTTCTTGAAACTATTGGAAACAGCATTTGAATCATAGCCTGGTTGGAGAAGAATGATTGACATTTAGTCCATACATTGTCAAAAGAAGCATTAACATTTGGTACACAATTCAGATCAGCCCTTTTTTCTTTCTTTCTTAATTTCACACTCTCTGGGTTTCAAGGCTGACCCAGCATCTATGAACATCAATATGGCTTCTACAGCAAGAGATTTTTCTCTTCATTCGGAGGGTGGGTGGAAAGGCTGGGCAAAGTTTGCAAAAGTGCTTTTATTGAAATTTCCTCCCCACCAAAAGAAAAAAGGTGCATTTTAAAACACGAAAACCAAAACTGGGGGCTTCGTTAACAGATGAATATCAATTTCGCACGTGAAAGAGAGAAGAGACCGCCAGTGCTTGATAATAATTGTATTTCTTTACAAAATCAGCTCCGATGCATAAACGTGATTGTACATGACATTTACATTAGAAAAAAAAAGGGGGTACAGCTGCTCAAAGCCTCTGGGTTGTGGTCGGGTTGTGGGGTTGTAGGCGCTCCGATCTCTTAACCAAACGTCGCCCCGCAGTTAGGACACGTCCGTTGTCTCAAGGCGAGGCAAAAGATGATCCCCACAGGGAAAAAAACGATGGCGCACAGGATGCCAAGGCAAGTGAAGGTGTCTTCCAGCACGCCAACCCTGCGAAAGGAAATCACACAACAGGAAGTAAGTAAGTTACTGCACACTGTGGTTAAACCAAAGGCGAATGAAACCCAGGAGTGGCGCACATTTAACAGGCAGTCCTCGACTTACAACAGTTCCATTTAGGTTCAAAGTTAGAACGGCACCAAAAACTGGGATTTAAGATAGTTTTTCACACCTACCACTGATTTATGCTCAGATCCTTGACAATGGACTCATACTTACGACCATCACGGTGTCCCAGATCATCACGGGACCTTCTGACAAAGTCCAAGCGGAAGCCAGATTCACTTAACGACCGGGTTAATTTAATCAACTGCGGTGATTCTTACACTTAACAACTGAGACGCTAAAGGTCATAAAATGGGGGCAGAACTGAAGGGGAAGTTCCCATAATCAAAGTCAGTGGGCAAAGCTGGGTTCACTTAAAGACCGTGTGATTTGCTTAGCGACCACGGCAAAAGATCTCAAAATTGGGGCAACCGACTTAACAACGGCCCAGAGGTTCCAGTCGTAACTGGACAACTAGCCATAATCTCTCTGCATTTTAAGTCTTGCAGAATTTTTTTTTTTTTACACCAAACAACACAAACATAAAATAATAAATAAAACCTTCTTTCCATTGTAGTGTGTCGGTTGGTACATATCTTTTGTGCATAATATCAACAGTCTTTCCCTCTAAAGTTTAGATTAAAATTCATATTGTAAAAAACCTATCCATATCATGCTATCTCATTGTTAAATCATCATTAAACTTTAATTACAAATTTACTTCATCCTTTTCCAGCAAATTATAATTCTTTCCATAGTAATCAGTTATAACATATCATTTCATTGTATTATCTTTACTATTATATTTACATTGTGATAGGTTTCATTTCTCTATTTTCCTGTCTAGCTATTGATAAAATAAATCCCATATTTTATAACATTCTTTTTCTTCCTGCTCTCTAATTGTTAATGTCAATCTACCCATTTCGTCTTGCAGACATTTTCTTGACAAAAGATCACAGCTTCTTCCGTCGGTCGGCTAACGGGGAGCACCATAAAACTTTCCAATGAGAGAAAGGCTAATCTTAGCTAATACAGTAAGAATTAGCCAGGGAGGGAGGGGATAACCCAAATGACTTTCCCCGTGGTTTACAGTTGCTGCTCCCGAGGCCATCTAAAAATAGAGAATGAATGTTTACATTCAGGTTTGAAGCTAGGCTTGACCTCCCTGCTCAGAGTCACAGACATTGCAAATCTGCAAGGAAATCCCTTCTTTGGGGTTGAGTTCGTCCCTCGTGCACCACGATTTAATGATTTTGCTTCGTTTCATATGCCTTCTCTGGACCTCCCTAAACATTCATTTAATTTAAAATTGAATTGTTTTCCGGAATTCCCTTGCTAGGATTCCAGAAAGCAATTAAAACTCCAGGGTTTGTTTTTTTTTTGTAGGGGGGGAGAGTTTAAGTCTTTAGGGACAAGGTGAATTTGTGAGGTTTGGAAGTCAAACCAAATCCAGCCATTTTGTGACACTATCCAGATAAGTTGCTCCATTTAGCAAATAAATACAAGGTAGTCCTGGACTTACAACTTCTCATTTAGCAACTAAATGAGAAGTTGTAAGTCCAGGACTACCTTGTATTTATTTGCACCAAAAATAGTGACCTATGGCCTACACACATGACCGCTGCATTCCCTCCCCCCAGACACGTGACAAAAATTTGGCTCTCTGCAAACCATCATGTATTCACGATGGTTGCAACATCCTGTGGTCACGTGGTGGTCATTTGTGGCCTTCCCAGCTGGCTTCTGGAAAGCAAAGCCAATGGGGGCGAGAGCTGGATTCATTTAACGACCGTGGGTTTCCCACTTAACTGCAGCTATTCACTTCATCACCCTGGCCAAAAAAATAATAAAGGCCCGTAAAATTGGACTCCATTTGCTTCACAAGGGAAGGGAAGCTTAGTGTCATGCTCCGTCATAGTTTGAATCCGAGGAGGAAAATGAACAGCTGACAGAGTGTGGCTCCACTGGCTGTGGAGAAAACTGGGGAAGGGCAAAGTCCAGCTGGGCAGAGCAGGGAAGAGGTAGAACAAGGGAGAGGGAGTTCGGAGGAAGACCCAGCCCCCCCCCTCTTCATCCTAGGGCACGCAAGGAGGAACGGAGAAAGGAGCAACATGGGTTGTGTGGCTTACAGGGGAGGAAAGGGCCCTGATTCCCTTCATTAGCCACAGCTGGGAATGATAGTTTAAAAGAGATGCAAGCTGAGTGCGACAGCTGCTGGGAACAAATGTGAGTTTATCTTGAGTTGACTTTGGTTATGTGCATTCCTGGTGTCTTCCCAACCGTGTTAAATCACTGCCATGCCTTCACGTCTGGAATTCTTACTCCTGGCCTGCCGGACTAATTATCTCATTTTGCCTTGATTGGACTTATAGTTACAGTTTGTGTTGACCACGTTTTGGACTTGATTCTCTGCAGCTAAAGGCTGTTCCTAGGAGAGTTTTTCTCCAGCCCAGAAGGTAACCAGGACATTGGGAGCAAAGTTGGAGCTAATAAAGGGATGCCTACTGATTATCTGACTGTGTTGCCTTTGTGCCACGCCCCTTTGGGTCATCACCCTTAGCATCGGAAATTTTGGTCCCAACCGTCTCGTTTCCTCCCACCCACCCAAAAAGGAAAATTACCTGCAAGCCGGGCAGCCACCCACAACTATGACAGATGTGGTAGGGGGCTGCTGGATTATTGTATACGTAGTATTGGGATAGTTGTGCGGCTGTGAACTAGCCGGAGCGGTATATCCTGGACAGAGAAACAAAACGGAGAGATAAATAAAACAATGTTTGTGGCTTCCAATTAACAGGACCATGGAAAATCTCCAGTGAGCCTCCACTGCCTATTTCACCCCTGGTGTAAAGTTTGCCCATGTACACCAACGGCACTACAGGTAATCCTCAACTCGCAACCGTTCCAAGTTACAACGGCACTGGGAAAAATGACTTATGACCGATTTTTAGGACCACTGCAGCATCCTCATGGTTATGGGATCCAAATTCGGTCCCGGCCGGGATCACATTTGGCGACCTTCTGATAAACAAACTCAATGGGGAAATTGAGTTAGACTTGTGTAACAACCCTGTTACTAACTGAACAACTGCAGTGATCTACTTAACGACTGTGGCAAGAAAAGCCGTAAAATGGGGCCAAACTCACTTAACCAATGTCTCGCTTAGCAACATAAATTTTGGGTTTGTGATCGTAAGTCAAGGACTATCTGTACTAGGTAACTAGCGAGCTCATTCTCCTGTTAGAAGTAGGGACATCTCCTCCTCTGGTCAGTCAACGGTCAAGTCTTCATTTCACAGGTGGACTTGGTCCAAAGAGGATCAGGAACACCTGATGGCCAGAAGAAGCCACCGAGAAGAGCTGAGGTCCAAAGCTTGGGAGAACGTCACCACTGGTGTGAAAGATCTCCCACCAAACGTAAAATAATTGACCACCAGAGTCCTTTTGGAGCTTAAGCGAGCCCCCTTAACCAAGACCACAACTCCACTCAACACCACAAAAAGAATCCTCAAAGAATCTCCAACCCTTTTAAAGCTGAAGGCCCTCTGAGGTGTTCTCGGTTGGCTCCATCTCCACGTGTCAACGGTATCCACTCAAATGGAGCTCAGAGGAATTCTTCTCAATGCCCCATAAATCATTGTTACTCACCCTAGTAACCCGGTCCTTCTGCTCTTCTATGAGTCAAGGCCTAATGACAGCCTTCTGGGGTTAATGATTAACTTCTCCAAACAGATCCTTGGCAGAACCAGAGCAGGGGGGAAAATAGACCAGCCCTTTCCAAAACCTTGGGGCTCTCTGGCTTTTTTCTGGCAGATATTTCATTACACAAACTAGGTAACATGCTGGTCACTTGTCCCAAGCCAGATCAAAGAGCACCAAGGGCCCCTCATTTCAACCCTGAGCTACATATATTCTCCTTTATTGGTATTTTTCAAAACCAGACAAAGCTTTCAACCAAGGAAAAAGCCACATCTTTTCAGATGCACTCAAGTTAAGTGTTCTCCCGTTCATTACATCCATCTATCCTTATAAGCTCCGATGCAATTTTCTTGGTAGGGCTTTAAATGCAACAGACCAGCCCTCAAATGTGCAAATCATGGTTTCCACTCTAAAGGGAGGCACAAACCCAGTTTGTTGGGGGTTTAATCCACAAACCATAATAAAGCAAAGCCAGCGTGGTTGACGGACCAAACATTTCTGCGCCGGATAGAGAAGTTAACAAATAGCCCCACAATCAGAAGTCTGGTAAATCCTTTTCATATTTATTATTATGCCTTAATATTATTAGTAGTAGTAATAATAGTAATTATGCCTGGCTGGGGGATTCTGGGAGTTGAAGTCCACCCATCTTAAAAATTGCCAAGGTTGAGAAACACTCCATCAGTCACTACTGGCTGGCTTGCACAAGTTTTCAAACCATAACCCTGATTACATATTGGTTCTCTGGTAATAATGATGATTTATTAATAATTTCTGCCTTATGGAGAGGCCAGGATTTTTCCTTTTAAGGCTCCATGTATCTTTGCCAGCCAGGCGATGTAAAAAATACAGATGATCACCAGTCTTTGCACGCTACACTGGCCGAATTCAAACCTTACACTAAACCAGGAGCAAATTGCAGGATATTCGAAACCTTCCTCTTCCTGCATCACCATTATGGCTCCTAATGAAAAAAAAAAAGTAATTTTTGTTCTCATTTTCAAAAGCGAAAACTGAATTCAAAGGCTGGTTTTTACCGAAGGAAGTGATTACAAAACAAAAAAAAAAGAGAGGCCCTTGAAAGTTTCAAATGAATCATCACAGATTCAACCATGTCACCCAAGGTTTTTTCTTTTCTTTTCAAATGTGCAAATCCAAAAGGCCTCTGAAATCACTTCTGCCTGGTCAGCAGAACTCAAGTTCCCCAATTCTTAGGTGAAACAAAACAATAACAATGGGTTCCTTGGTGAGGAAGGAAGAAAACCAAAAAAAACTTTGGTAGAAGTTTTTGGAGAAAAAAAAATTCCTCCTCCCAAACCAGCCAGCTGCTTTCCATCTGAGTCCGTCCTTCCTTCCTTCCTTCCTTCCTTCCTTCCTTCCTTCCCAACAAACTCTGTCCTTCCTTCCCTTCCACCTCCCTCCCTCCCAACTCCTTCCTTCCTTCCTTCCTCCCTAACAAACTCCTTCCTTCCGTCCCTCCCTCCCTAACAAACTCCTTCCTTCCTAACAAATTCCTTCCTTCCGTCCATCCCTCCCTAACAAACTCCTTCCTTCCTTCCTTCTTTCCTTCCCACCTTCCTCCCTCCCAACTCATTCCTTCCTTCCAAATTCCTTCCTTCCTTCTTTCCTTCCTTCCTCCCTCCCTAACTCCTTCTTTCCTTCATTCCTTCCCACCTCCCTCCCAACTTCGTAACAAATTCCTTCCTTCCAATTTTTCCTCCCTCCCTCCCTAACAAACTCCTTCCTTTGTTCCTAATTCCTTCCTCCCTCCCTCCCTCCCTCCTTCTTTCCTTCCTAACAAACTCCTTCCTTCCTTCCTAATTCCTTCCTTCCACCTCCCTCCTTCCTTCCTTCCCTTCCACCTCCCTCCTTCCCTCCTTCCTTCCTTCCTTCCTTCCTAACATTCCTAATTCCCTCCTTCCTTCCCTTCCACCTCCCTCCCTCCTTCCTTCTTTCCTTCCTTCCTAACCAATTCCTTCCTTCCCATTTTTCCTTCCTTCCCATTTTTCCTTCCTTCCCTTCCTTCCCCCTTTCTAACTCCTCCCTCCCTCCCTCCTAACCAACTCCTTCCTTCCTTCGCCCCCCCTTCTCCACCCCTCTTCACCAACAGGGCGCCCCCCTCCCCAGGTATATATCCTGACCCTAATCCCCAACCCCATCGGGCGGGCCGCTGAAGCCGGCCAAGGCAAGTCCAGGCTTGGAGAAGAGGAGGAGGAGGAGGGCGGTGGCCTTCACCCCAGTTGGGCTTCCCCTCCTCCAGCTGGCAAGCCCGGAAAGCCACTCTCTC